AGGTAGAAAAGAGAAAAATAGAGGGGATGAACCAATTGGGTTATAATACATATATACATGGAAATATCACAATGAAACACCCTGTACAGCTATCTTAAACAAACACAAATGTCTTTTTTTTTTTTTACAAAAATGGAGAACAGAAAGGCAAAACAGGTCACAGGTCCTGTTACAGGGGGTGGGGGGTACCAGTGAGTGGAGGGATGCTATAAGGAAAGGATGTAGGTGGGTGACTATGGTAGAAACATTACATACACGTGTATGTAAACAGAAAAATGAGACCTGTTGAAACTACTCCAGCAACGGGAGGAGGGAGGATAAAGGAGAATGATGGAGGGGGTGAATTCAACTGTGATATATCATAAGAACTTTTGTAAATGTCACAGTGTACCCCCAGTACAACAATAATGAAAAAAAAGAAATTGATAACAATAAAAAGAAATCATTCTTGTATAGATTAGACCTCTTCTTTAGCTCATTACTCACTGTGGCCTTATCTAAAAAAAAAAAAAAAAACCAGCAACATTTCATATCCACCTGCGGCACCAGGCATCAGACTAGCTGCTTTACCATTACCAGCAATGAGCAGGCAAATATAATGCTTTGGAGCCACAGATTCCCCGTGAATAAGACAGAGATAATAATTTTTTCCTTGCAAAACCACAACATTGTTGTGAAGATCAAGTAAGATTAGCCTATGAGCAATCCAAGGGCACAGTCTGTATGTTATTAATCTTCATATTCCTGCAGTCTCTCAGAGTTCTTAATAACAAACATTGAAAGAGCAAATGAAGGTACACATAAGAAATACATTATAAATTGCAAATCACCACAGTAGTTAGGGTTAGGGTCAGAGACCTTATATTTAATGATTTCATTGATTTTTTTCTTTTTGGTGGAACTAGAGTTTGAACTCAGGGCTTTGTGCTTGCAAAGCAGGTACTCTACCACTTGAGCCACACCTCCAGTCCACTTGCTGTGGTTATTTTAGAGATGGGATCCTGTGAACTATTTGCCTGGGTTGACCTCAAACTGGTCCTCCTGATGTCAGCCTTCCAAGTAGCTAGGATTACAGGCATGAGCCACTGGCACCTGGCTTTCATTGATTTTCAATTGCTTCACTCTCTTGGATTTAATTCCTAATTTACTATGCGAGAAGATTGCTCTACGTTATACTCGAGTCCTCTTTCAGTACTAGAATTCTTGAATTTTTGTTATGTTCTGTTTGCCTTTCAAATTCTCAGTATTTATACAGGCCAGCCTTCATTCTTACATTTTTAAAACTTTTTTATTTTGAAGTAATTTTAGATTTACAGAGAGTTGTAAAGATAATATACAGAGTTCGTGTCTACCCTTCACCCAGTTCCCCTAGTGTCATCTTTCATAACTTGGGTGAGTCTATGAATGCTAAGAAATTAACATTGGGAAAGCCTTAAACTCCAGACTTTATTTGGATTTCACCAATTTTTGCACTAATGTTTCAGGATCCAAACCAAGCTGCCATGCAACATTTAGTCCTTACAGATTTTACCATAAAGTCAGAGTTTGCTATTCTACTTTTTAAGTTTATTGAGACATTAAGATTATTGGAGGAATGTAAACCTAATAAAGAATTCATCCTTTGGTAACCATTTTTATCAGTCATCCTCTATGAATGTCTTAGAGATCTTCAGGAAATCTTAAAAGACCATCCTGCATGCTGGTAAATGCAACAGACCAAACTGAGATGTTGGGCCCCATATTATAAATAAGGGAATACTGATAATCAAAGATACAAGCAGAGTGGTTTTTCCCCTGAGAAAATTAGTAGTCTTCTTTGTCAGGGTGGTGGAAACACTGGCTGGGATTTGTACTGCCTCATGCACCAACTAGACTGATTTAGTTTTTCATTGCATATTTATTTTGACCTATCATATACCTATTCTAGGCCCTGGGGATACAGTGGTGAATGAGACAAAGTCCCTGTGTTCATGAAGCTTATATTTGTGAAGGAAACAAACAGTAAACTAATATAAATCTGGTGGTGACAAGTGTACAGCAGGAAACAAGGCATGCTGAGGGAGTAGGAGGTAGGAGACGGTGGTTTAGAGGAGCAGGTGCTCTACACACTAAACACTCAGGACCAGGAACTTCATGGCAGTTGTTTGTTGGTGGAGGTCAGCATCCATGCTTCAGAAAATGGCATCTAAAGAGGTGGTTTTCTTCAGAGAAACCATGATGAACAACAGCTTTTTAAGCTGCTCAGTTATGATGGCAACACCTTTTAAAGACAGTGCCCTGTTTTCAAGTCTCTTCAGCAAGTCCTAGGTATTGTCATTAAATTTGTGTTTGAGATGCCTTTCCCCTCTTAAAATAAACTTGAAAGCTAATTCACTTGTCCAAGGCAGCCACACTGCACAGAACCCTCAACAACTCCTCCACAACAGATTAAGAGCCTGCAGCCAGTGGGAAGATGTAACTGATCCCCAGCCTGTGAGCAATTTCTTTGCTTCCAGATTTTTTCACTGAGACTGAAATCTGAACTCAAAGTCATAACTGTCTTTAAAAAATGCTTAGGGAGTGATTGGTATGAGTCCTGGGGCAGTTGAATCCTATAGTGAAGAAGCTGTTTTGCATGTTTGTGAGTTTTTAACCCAGTGATTAATGGGGAGGGAGAAGGAGGTCATGGAGGCTGGAAGGAGGAAAGTAAAAAAATTCCTTGATCCTGCACACCAAAAATGCAGAGGAAGAGGAGGTGGAAATAATGACGACTCACTTGTCAGCTTTTCACTAGACTCTCATGGGTCAAACAAAATCATGCTATTTCACTTTCTTCTTATTTTGCTTTTCTTCAAATTGCTTTGGAGTTCATGACAAACCAGTCACAAGTTGGAAAGTTTAAAACTGAACATCATTTGGCTTCTGTCCCTAGAAGAGTTATATATAAGCTTCCACAGAATATAAGACAAAGCCAAGTGCACGTTCAGGGTGAGCTGCCACTCTGTGGAGCCTTTCAGTTGTTATGCAGTCTGAGGGCTCACTTTCCAAATGAGGTGGGAGCCTAGGACTCTGAGCCCTGGGCCAAGGTCACATTGTCATTAGCACCAGGATCCAAACCCAGTCCTCCTGACTCAACTCAGGGCTCTCCCTTTAGGATATAACAATCTTCCCTGAGTGCTTGTTTTACTGTTGTAGCTCTAAAAAGGGGTTTTAGAAAGAGGCCACACCCATGTGATGGTCCCCTGATGGAGGAGACCAGAGGGACAATTGCAACTAGGTCATTTCCATGCCTTGTGCCAGGCAATGAGCCTGACTGTGGGGAGTCACTGGAGTCTGTCCTCAAGGCAAGCCTTGTCTCTGAGTCAGATATCTGTCTGGAAGGGTTTTGGCTCATTAAATCTGCTTTCCAGAGACAAGAGGGTGGGTGAGGACAGCCTAGTAAAGGCTGTCCAAGTAGTCTCTGTAGCCTGCTGTCTGACCTGCAGTTGCCTATGTTACCCTCTCCCCACGCATCCACAGGCCTGCTGGGCCTCTCCTCATAGTGACAAAGCTGACAAAGCCTCTTCAGGGCTAGACTTCTGTGTGATCTTACAGATCCCACCCTGGCCCAGGATAAAGAACTAGCTGAGTCTGGTTCTGTGGTCCTGGCTCTGCTAACTGAAGGTCCATGGTTGGGTGGGAGTCCATGTTGGGTGGGGGCAGTTGACTTTCAACAGGCATCATCATGGCTAAGCATATACTATTTGGAGCTGACTTTTTGGATCTAAATCTCAGCTTGCCAGCTGAGGAAAAACACTTTATGTCTAAGTGGCTGTTTTCCTACCTATAAAATGATTTATAGATTGTTTCCAGCATTAAATAAGATAATCTACATAAAGTGCTTACCACGGTGCTTGCTCAGGGTAAACACTAAATAAATAAGAGCTGTTTTTATTAGAGGCCCCTCTCATGTCTGGCTCTTCCACCTATCTATCTTTTCTTCTTGAATTTCTGGCTGTGTGACCCCTAGGACCTTATGCTTGACCACTTCCCTACTCCACCAAAGTCCTGCTGGAACCCCTCACAGAGTTGTCTAACTTGTTTTCCAGATAGCATAGGTGGTGGCCTGACATCTGGGCTTCCTCTGCCCTGGGCCTTTGTTCTCTAGGGTCAGCCTCTACCCTTTCTCCCCATTTCTGCAGTTTGTGCTCCATCAGGCAGCTGTGGTCATCAGTGGCCACAAAGTGGCATCAATGGCCACTGGCATGCACTTTTCACCCAGTACCAGGACTGGGACCCAGTTGAGACACTCACACCTCACAGAGAAGCACAAAGTGGGACCAATGCCACTGAGGAGGGAAGATTAGCCAGGTCAGGGTAGTACCTCTCTAAAAGCCTTTACTACACTAAGTTCCAGCAACAGAATCCACTTTAAACTCAGGCAGAGAGAAGGATCTCAGTACTCAAAATTGAGAGAACATATTTAATCAGAGCAGCAGAGAGCTATTTAATTTCATTTTCCTTTGCTTCAACTTCTTTGTCTTCCCTGCCCATTCACTTGCTCTAAATCGGTATTTCTCAAATTATCTGTACGGAGGACCCAATTGTTTATTTTTCCCAAACTATTCTGGACCAATACTTTGTAAAATAGTAAAAGTAAATCATTACAAAGTAGAAATGTCATTCCAATGTCACAGCAATGTTCGATTACTATAGTTTCTCAAGTAGTTTCAACTTCTATACTTCTCTTTTTACAGTCTGGTAAGCATTTTGCAGACTCACACAAGTCCCTGGACCAAACAGAGAGCCACCTCCAAAATGAACAAAACCACAAAGAAGTCCATTTGCCATGGACCTTCCCTGTTGGGTTTTTGTCTTATTAATATTTATTTTATAGCAGCTTGCCCCACCAGAGCAGGCAACTGTAAAGTTTGGGGTAAGAGTTGCTCAGGCTATGGACACTGCTATTCCCTGAGAGTCCAGCATCAACCAGGGGGACACACAGAGATGTTCCCAGCCCAAGTACAGTGGGTGCCCCTTACCATTCCATGCCAGCCCTGTTGATCTCCTCCCACCAGCACTCCGTGGGCTCCCCAAGGCTCTGGGGTGTGGGCAGGCAGGCATAGTTCCATTGTCTGTCAGAGCCTTCCTTTTTGTTGAAGATGCTCCTCACGGCCATCACCACCTGCCCATGGGGACACTGGTAGCTAAAGCCTTGCCGGTTCAGATTCACCCAGCCATCATCACTGTAGTCTTGGTATTGTTGGTATGGGTACCCATAGTCACCATACTGGCCCCAGACCACAGTGACCAGTGGCAGAAGTACCCATAGAAGAGTTAGGTCCATACTGTCTGGCTTTTGGCACAAAATGTCACCCTGAGTTGCTGAGCTGATTTTTATATAGCTGCCGCTGACATGTGGCTTCCAGATGTGGATGAGTAGGATCCAACTTCAGTGTGTCATTGCTTAAGCAAAAGTTTTCCACGCTGAGAAATTGGCCATAAGTACATCTAGCTTGTTTTAAGGTGGAATTCTAGGAATATACAAGGACCACGTAAATTGAGGAAATTTCCCAGCAAAAGAACGACTTTATGGATAGGTTACAAGAGCAACAGCTTCAGCCCCCTCAGAAATATTTGACTGAAAAAGATTAAGGAGTAGCCTGCTTGTACCTCACATTTCGGCACTCTATTCCTCTCTGACCCACACCACCCCTCACTACTAAACCCCTGTGTTTGTTCTTCTAAGATCACACAAATATCCAGCCAGTGATTTCAAAATGCAAATGTGTTAGAATGAAGGGATAGAATCATTTAGATTCCTGCAAACTGTATGCTTGGTTTCTTTCAAGTTCTCAGCCTAACATCTTTTAACCTTGAGCATAAGAAAGGGTGTACCAGTTTTGAGGGTAGAATTCTTGTACTGCATGTGGAAGTACTCTTGGTCTGTGGAGAGAAAAGTTGTGCATTATCTCTACACTTAAGCATCTGCCTAAGCTGCCGAAATTGGACACACCCACATCTAGAAACTGTTCTGCTCTCAATTATATAATGGTTTAAATCTGAATAATCACACTTTTATCCTTCGGTATTTTTTCCTTCCATTGAGTTTTCTTTTCATTTTGGCACAATTTACATAGAATAAAGGTCATCTTTTAAGACTTTTTTGTCATGTAGTCCTATAACCAGTACCACAATCAAGATACAAAACAGCTCCCTCAATCCAGAATATACCCTAACCCTTTGTAGCCAAATTTTTCCCAACATTCAGACCATGGTAACCAGATCTCCTTTCTGTTCCTATAGTTTCTCCTGTTCCAGGATGTCAAATAAATGAAATCATACCACCTGTCTCCATGTGTGTCCTTTTTACACATAGCATAAAGCTTTCAGGACTCATCCATGTTGTTGCATGGATGCATCCATGTTGCATCCATGTTATTTTTATTGCTGAGTAGGATTCCATAGTATGGAAACACGTAGATTGTATATACACTTACTATTTGTATATACAACTTCCATTTGTTGAAAGTTATTATGTATAAATAATTATGAATAAAGTTTCTATAAATGTGCATAGGCTTTTGTGTGAACAATTTTTTTTATTATTTCAGTAACTATCTAGAATAAGGAATTCCAGGGAGGTCATGTCTAAAACTGTCTAATACTCATTTTCAAAGTGATTGTACTATTGTGCATCCCTAATAGAAAATTTCCATTTTGCGGATATTTTAATAGGTTTGTAGTGATTTTAGCATATACATCTTGATTTCCCTAAAGCCTCATGATTTTGATATTTTTTCTTGTGCTTGTTGGACACAATATGCATTTTTTGGTGATTTCACTCTTCAAATCCTTTGAACTTTTCGGGCATCTTTTATACACATAGCATTTCCCATTCCTCATCAGAATTGTCTATAAGGAAGTTTCTTAAAATTTTTGTCAATACCCAATTATATCTGAAAAATCTGTGACTCTTATTAAAATGCAAATTCCTAAGCTCTACCCAGACCTACTAAATCATAACCTCACAGGGGGTATCCAAGTATCTACAGTAAAGTTTTCCAGGTGGTTCTTTTTCACACCAATGTTTGAAAATCTCTTTTCTAAAGGAACGTAGGGCCAGGGAAAAATCATATTGTAAATTCCTCTCCTTGCCCTACCTATAACACATGTACCAGATAGCATTTAAGCAGATTATAGATTAAGGTAGCCTTAAAAGCAAAGAAATGTTCACACATGGATAGAGCAACTCTAGGTGTGTACACGCACAAGTGAGCATTGTGTGTATGTGCTGGGTGTGCAATTGCTCCCATGATCATGGTTACAGAAGAAAGGGGAAGAAACTCTGGGCTGAACAGATATTTGATTCTCAATTTTGTTATTATCACCATCTTCCCCTACTACTTCTATCCCTAAGTAGCTGTCCAGTGTTGGCAACTGTAATCTTTTTAGCTTTGAGTGACAGCTCTGGCATCTAATGTGCCCAAGTAATTGTTCTCAGCCCTGTGAGCCCTTAGAAATTACTTGGAAGCTTTTGAAAATTAATTTGTCTGAGCTATCCTTTAGACCAACCAGGTCTAAGCTTCTGAGCAGGGCCCAGATGACAGTGTCCTTTAAAGCATTCCTATATGATATGTGCAGCCAAAGTTGAGTTGAGGACCACTACTCTAGAAGCTTTTTTGTTATCATCATCCCAATGATCACAAACTGTATCCTGCATTCTGGACATAACTTATGAATAGTCTTAAACCTTAAAGAGTCTGAGAGGCAATGTAAATGATTGTAAGCCTTTGTCTTTATCCCACATTGCTTTTTCTTCCCCCAAATTTCTAGGCCCTGCCTGGTCCCCATTCCCTGAAGACCAATCTTTCTTTCTCTTTGTCTTACACATGGTTGCTACATACCCAACCCCAAAGACTCTCTTATCTGAAAGCTGCCATGGTAGAACTTTCTGTGATGCACAGAAAATAAATATCTTTATACTTTAGGCCCATTTGAGTATAGATTTTGTAACTGAGAGCTGAAAGCAACTTAACTTGTGCCATATCTCAAGGGATTTCAGTAACTGCTGAGGCCACTGAGAAAGTTGTGGGGGATCTCACAGGGAATGTTTTTTAAGAGTAGGCATTATGCATATAAGTTTAATGCATTTATAGTATATCATCTGTTTTCAACCAGGTTTTAATATTATGTTCCTTATAACTTTATGGTACATATTAATGAGGCATTATTGGGATTTATTTTTCTCAATGAGGAAACTTTTATCAGAGAATATTTTGGCCCAAATTCCTAGAGCTGGAAGAATATGACTATTGGTCTTTTGAGTTCTATTCAGCAATTCCTTCCATCATTTCATCAAAACCATAGGTACTAATTATAAATCAACATTTAGAAATTACCAAATAAAGTAGTTATAATGTAAAGTTTTTTATATTAACACTCACATAAATAATTTGTACTATGAATTTCTGCTGTTATTTGTAAAGTATGTTCAATAGGCCCTGGATTGAAACATTAGATCAGTAGTTTTCAGAGTGTTATTCTAGGACCAGCAGCCTGGGCACCCCTGAGTGCTTCCTAGATATACAAATTCTCTGGTATTAAATCAATCCCTGCAATGTGTTTTAAAAACCCCTCCAGGGGGCCAGATGAATTATACAGTGAGAACCATTATATGAAAGATCGCTAGAAACACTGTACTCCAATTCCAGGAGTGGTGTCATAAGGAGTAAGGCAGCTGTATGGAAGCCCCTATGACTCTACTCAGTCATCATGACCCCAGAGCCTACACTCATAACCACTGGGCTCCTATGACATCATAGGAGCTGAAGGAAACCAAAATATTTCTCCTTAGAATATTGAAGTTTACTGGCCTTAAGAAAATTAAAAGACAGGGAAATTTTCTACTTTTCCTCTTCCAGCTTGAAGACAGGACATAAAACCTTTACTTGAGACAACTTTTATCAGATCAGAACCAGGTATCAGAGAAATCAGCAGACAAGACTTGCTGCATCAAATTCTTCCCATATGTTGCCTTCCACAGTTTTCCTAGGTTTATCTGCTCTTCTTTGTCTTGTTGCTGCTCTAAAACTATTATTTTTGTCTGAAAAGTACAGAAGCATCTGCTTTGGGCAGATCTTCAGACTTCACTGTCTTGTGGAGATCCTGACAAAAATGTAAATTAATAAAATACGTATTTTTTTTCTCATTAATCTGCCTTGTGTTAATTCGGTTTCTAGACTCAGCTAAAGATCCCAAGTAAGGACTAAGGTTGGGTGAAAGAGGAGATTAAATGGCTTTTAGCATATTCACATATTCACATTGTACAACCACAACTACAATCAATTTAGAGCATTTTAACCACTCAACAAGAAAGCTGGTACCGACTGTCAGTTATTCTTCATTTCTCTTTAATCCTTCAGCCTTAGGCAACAACTAATCTACTTTCTGTTTGTACTGATTTTTCAGATAGATGGTATAATCCAAAACATGATTGTTCATATTTGGCTTCTTCATTTAATATAATGTTTTTAAGATTCCTAAGTTGGGCCAGGTATAGTGGCTCAAGCTTATAATTCTAGCTACCTGGGAGGTGGAGACTGGGAGGATCATGGTTAGAGGTCAGCCTAGGCAAAAAGTTCAAAAGATCCCATCACACTCAATGGCTGGGACATGATGGCGTGTGCCCAGCTATACAGGGAAGCATAAATAGGGGGATCATGGTCTGGGATGGATCTGGCATAAAGCAAGACCCTATCTAAAAAATACCCAACGCAAAAAGGGCTGGAGATGTAGTTCAGGTAGTAGAGTGCCACACATATATATGCATATACACACACACACAAACATATATATATATATATATATACATAAGTTGTAGTATATGTCTATACTTCCTTCCTTTTTATTGTTATTAGATATTCTACTATTTGAATATACTACATTTTATTTATTTATTCATTCATATGTGTAAAGTTGGTGGACATTTAGGTTGTTTCCACCTTTTGGATATTATGAACATTCATGTACAAGTTTTATCTAGATGTTTTCATTTTTCTTGGAGATGTACTCAAGGGGGGAATTGTTGGGTAAATGGTAACTTTATGTTTAACCATATTAGGAACTATCAGACAGTTTTCTGAAACAACTGCACCATTCTCTATCCACACCAAAAGTGTATGAGAATTCCAGTTTCTCTGCATCCTCAACACTTGTTATTAGTCTTGAGTTCTTCTGAAAGCTGTGGAAACCCATAGACATTCAGCTAATACTTTTGGGAACCCAGACACACTCCTCTGTGGCAGCTTCCTCAGACATACTTCTTAGGAGATTCTGAATGTAATGCTTTGGCCTAATCTCAACAGGGAGCCCCGGGAATGGCCTTAGAATGGACTCATCCCTCAGAGTTAATTTTATACATTCAGGATTGGGGAAGATTCTGCAATATGGTGGAAGGGAACAGTATAGACCCATGGAGTTATTTAGAGCAGACCAGAATTCACTGAAGCATTTTGGCTATGACCTCTTGGCTCCATGAACCAGCTATTGTGAGGGAACAGGGCACGGCTCATCCTAATGCCTGGATGTAGCTGACAGCCCCATATGAACAGATGCTTTGCCTGAAATATTGGCTCAGAATTATTTGAGGATTATAATTTTTCACCCTGCATTCTCCCCACCTTTTTGCCCCTTTTTGGCAGCACTGGAGGTTGACCTCAAGTTCTCACACTTGCAAGACAGGTGTTCTACCACTGAAGACACTCTGCCAGTCCATTTTTCCCCATTTTAACTCCTGCGTATAATCAAAATATGGCTACAGTTCTATGTGGCCAAAGTACAGGGTTATTATGGTAAGTCAGGAATTTCATGGTAAGTGTCAACTGAACTATTTGTTACCCTCCCCAAAACTGGATATTCTCCAGTTTCATATTTTAGCTGAGGAAGGTGTTAAGTAGCCTTAGCACTGCTGGGCTGAACTCCCATTTATGAAGCTCATCACCCTTTGCAAAATCCACTGCTTTCCTAAGATCTTTTGTGGAACCCACCATCCTGCCATTTGGAGTTAACACTGTGGGATATAAAAAGAATTTTAAAATGCTGTATTAGAGGCCAGCAGAAGAATAAGAGCTGAAGTTGAGAAAAGAGAAGAACAAATATTGGAGGGGTAGAATAAGGTAGATCCACTATGAGCTACGTACTCCACCAAATGCTTTACATATGATGGACCAATTAGGACAACCATATGTGGTTGAGGAAAGCATTATCATCACTAATGCATCTTGATTTTTACAGCTAGTATGTGGCACAAATGATTTTAATTCATCAGTTAATTTCTCTTAGTGAGGGCATCATATTACCCTAGGTGCCAAATAGTGATGTCAGGACCTCACAATAGTGGCAGAAGTTTCTAAGAAAAGCAAAGAGTAAGCTTAATGACTTTGGACTGGGTTTTCTCAACTCTGGCACTACTGAGGTTT